CTGAATTCCAGTGGGCTTATGAGATTTGGCACATAATTCAAGACTTATTTGCCACCCAGGAGAAGAGAAGAGTGTAATTCAGTATTAATGGAAGTATAAAATTAAATAAATAATAGCATTTTGGCAATAATATTTTGAACAGTACTGATAGAATTTGTTAAATGTGGGTGGCAGAAATTGCTAGTTGCCCCCCACCCTACCCCAGTACCCCTCCTCCTCTTCTTTTCATAATTAGATATTTTTTTTTTAATCAGGGTACATGATGACTCAGATTAAAGACTACATTTCCCAGCCTTTCTTACAGTTAGGTATGGCTTGTAACTAATTTCTGTCTAATGGGATGTAAGCAAAAATGTCAGCTATTTATCCCTCATCCACCCTTTCTCACACCTGCTGCTTGGAATATGGGTGTGACGGCTGGAGCTGCAACCAGGCTCAGGAGAGTGAGAGTCACCTCTCAGCTGGCAGAGCTGTGAGCTGGAAAGAGTCCTGAGGATTTCGTAGAAGACTGCCGGGCCAGCCCCAGATGGTTTACTTTTTACAGAACTTTTTTAGTGAGGGAAAGGAATGTCTATTCTTTTTAAACTTCAGTTATTTGGGGCTTTTTGTCTTTCTCAATGAGAACCTAATCCTAACTGACACAATACATATATGCTTGACCCAGCAATTCCACCAGTAGGGGATTAGTTTAAAGAAAGACCTGGACAAGTGAAAAAATATCTCATTACATTTACTGATATAACAGCCCAACCTGCTCTGTTCATTCTAATGAGAGGTAACATATTCAAGTACTGGTAGATCATTTAGAGAAACGGTCCCCAACCTTTTTGGCACCAAGGACCGGTGCTCCTATGAGAATCTAATGCTTGATGATCTGAGGTGGAGCTGAGGCGGCGATGCTAGTGCTGGGGAGTGGCTACAAATACTGATGAAGCTTCACTTGCTTGTCACTGATTATCTCCTGCTGTGCAACCCCATTCCTAACAGGCCACGGACCGGTACCGGTCCATGGCCTGGGAATTGGGGACCCTTGATTTAGAGTACATCACTGTATACACAAATCATTTTTGTTCTTAAGTAGTTGTGGATGTGAACTAAAGAGAAGGGAATCAATATTTTATGAATGTAAATCTTAGGGTCATTGCCCAGATGGCACGGTACAGGGAGGGACTTTAAGATCAGACACATCCTCTATGCCACAAGTCAGCTGTGTGGCCCTGACAAAGTTACATTCAGCTGTGATTTCCCTTATCAGAAATCTACTTTAAGCCATCCTATAAGAGATTATATGTATAATGAACCCAATACGTAGTAGGCGAGTAATAAATACTCTTCACTATTTTGTGGAGACAAATAGGAGATTTCCATGATATTTATAAATATCTCATAAAGTATGTCTCAAAATAAATACTGAGTGATGTTCACTTTTAAGACATTTAATGATAAATTTTAAAATGCACTGGTATTCTGGAGCAATGTTTCTCAACCGAAGGTAATTTTGGTCTCCGGGAACATTTGGCAATGTCTGGAGACATCTATTGGTTGTTACATTGGGGTGGTGGGGTGGTGGTGGAGTAGATAGAGGCTAGGGGTGCTTTTAAATAATAACAGGACAGCCACCATGACCAAGAGTTATTCAGTCCAAAATGTCGATTGCGCTGAGGTTGGGAAGCCCTGCTTTGAAGATGAACCGTTGTTACTCTAGAGAAGAAGAAGGTGTACGTGGTACCCCATTTTCTCAGATGCTGGTCCTTGGCTCCTCTCTATTTCCACCCCTCCCTCTCCTCCTTTTCCTTCTCTCTTTCCCCTCACTCTTTTTATTTTGCATCCAATCCACATCAAATCCTGGGTTTTCACCTTTAAAATGTACTCTGAATGTAACTAACTCTCAACGCTGTTGTCACACTGATCCGAGCCACCATTGTCTCTCTCCCTGATGTCTTTTCATCTGCCATGACCACCTTAACACAATAGGCAAGTGATGTTGGTCAGGACAGATCATGTCTCTCCTTTGCTCAGAATCCTTCGGCACCCTTTCATCTCATTCAGAGGACAACCCACAGGCCATACTGACCTTCTCTGCTCCACTCACCCCCTCTTCCAGCTTACCCTCCCTCTCCTGATCAGTGATTTGACCTCCCTGTGGCCCATAGAGTCCCCAGGCAGGCTTCTGCCCCAGGGCCTTCAAACTCAGCTGCTTTTTCTACCTGAATTCTTCTTCCTCCAGAAAACTGCGTGTTTAACCCCTCACCTCATTCTGATGCTTGGTGGAAACTTCCTTATCGCCACACACACACACACACACACACACACACACACACACAGAGTTTAAAACTGACCTCCCCACCCCTTCCACATCCACCCTCAGGCCTCATTCTCTATCTACTTCTTTGCTCTATTTTTCTCCATCTAACACTTAATCACAATCTAGGACACTATATTATTTTGATTGTTTATTTTATTGGCTGTATCCCTAGGTCAGGACTAAGTGCTTCCATTCTTTTCTGCTGAATGCATGCATGATAGATAGGCAGGATTTTTTTTTTTTTTTTTGGAGAAAAGTGGTTTAAAAGGTAGAATTGTTCTACAATGAAGTACCTAGAAATGCTCCCAAGCTACTTTGCAAAATCCGAGAGAAGCAACCACATTTTCCTATTCCTTTTATTGCAACTGTAAACAGTCCCTGAATTGCTCAGTTTGCATCTCTTAAAAAGCTACATAATTTTCTTGGCCTTGGGCGCATTTCATCTAGCAATGGAAAAAGGATTACCCTGTTAGGCCAGTGGTTTAAATCCAGGCAAAATAAACATCGTACTTGGCATGTAAGTAGCTAGTTTAAACAGACTCTTAACCCTAAGCTTACTTCCTTCCTCAGTACTGCTTCCTGATATGAATAAGGCCATTGACAGTCTTTAAGGCATTTTTTTTTTTTTTTTTTAGGAGTAGGGGAAATTTGCTTTGGAGACATACTCTTGGCTAAATTTAGATTTTTTTCAAGTGCTGTACAATTAAAAAAAACTCTTTAAACAAACTTGCTAAGTGAATTCTATATGCTGGTCTAGGTGCTGAATAGTCCCAACACCTCCAAACTCTTCTCTGAATGCAGCAGTTTTTCAAGTGGAGACAACATTCAGTTAACCAACAAATATATTCGAATATGAGCATGGACTAGATTCCAGTTCTAGGTGCTCGGGAGACACTGGAGAACAAAACACCGGCTTACAGTCCCATATTTATCGAATGATGGAGTGTGCTGAGAAAGGTGTAGTGAGATGGATGGGATACAGAATTACCTTAAAACATGCTCCCTGTCCCTAGAGACATTTTAAATTGCAAGAAGAGATAATGGTGAAAAAGTGAGCCAGTTATTAATCCTCAGGGGCAAAACTGCATGAAGGGGCTGAGAAGGTGGTGGAAATGCAGAGAACAGAACATGAAAAGGTCTGGCAGAGGGGGAGGGCTTTGAGGAGGGGTGCCTGAGCCGACTGCTGAAGTTTCTAGGGCCACCTATAGGGATTTGGGACTAAGGGCTTTTCAGGTGAGGCAGACTTTATGAGTGAGGGTGTGGAGCATGGCTGGTCATGATGTATTTGTATGACATCACTTCTGGCCTCACCAGGATGGTGAACTCATCCATTCTTCCCTGACTCAAAGCTTTCTTGAGCAACTATTATGTGCCAGATACTCTTCACCAGGCACCATATTGAGGAAAACAGAAAAAGTCCCTTCCTCAGATGGAGCTTACATTCTAGAGAGGGAGATCGCGCAGTTAAACGTGTGAATAAGCAAAGCAATTTTAGATAGTGGCAAGAAAATAAAGCAGGATGGAGCCATAAGGAGAAAAGGGATGGGAAAGCAATTGTAAAAAGGGTGGTAAGTCTGTGTGTGGGGAGCAGATAATAGTGGGCAGAGTTCCAACTTGTGGAGTAGGAAACAGGAAGCATAGCAGATCTCTGAACAGAGAAAGCCGTAGTGATGCAAGGTCAGTCTAACAGTAACCTTTCACCCCGAGATATGCAATGGCCCAGACGCCTTCACACCCCTGCCCTGCCTGAGTCTCAGAGTGCCTACTTAAGTGGGCCATGCGTCCCATTCCCTTCTTACAGGGAACGGTAAGGACATACAGTGGCCACAGCACACACCATCCACAGGTGTTCAAACTAAAGCAGAGTTCCACATCAGCATTTTCTCTAAAATAAATACCAAATCCCACACATTGAATATTTTAGAAACATTTCAAAGGTCTGCTCTATTAAAAAGGAAGGAGAGATTTTGCTAGCAGTCATTGCAACCACCACAGTCAAACTTTCACTCCAAAGTTTTAAATGGAAATGGCTGTCTCCTTTTCAAATGTTAACAGAGCATAAATAGTTTCTTGCAAAAGTGAACAGAACAAAACAAAACACTAGAAACCACTCCTCCTGTAGTCTCCTCTCCTCCCGTTTTCTAACCATTAACAGTTGGAGTCTTACGATGGGTTTTCACAGACGCTCATTTAAGGTAAACTTTTATGACCTTGACTAGTGGCTACATTTGCACATACAGAGATAAAGAAATAGACACAGCTGGGAAAGCCCTGGGTGGATTGGACTGGGAAGGGGCTCCCATCATTCGCCCCGGACCTCAGGGCTCTGAGGTCATAAGTGTCCGGGGCCTCCGGCGTCGCTCAGGGACGCGTCCTTGGGGTTTGAACTGATGGGAAGGGGCCGGGGTAGGCGAGGAATGAAAGGGCAGTGCCGGGAGTCGCCGGGAGGAGAGTGGGGGACTAGGCAGGGGGTGTGGAGGACCTGGACCGGGATGGGTTGCTGGGAGGCAGGGAGCGGCGGGGCCTGGGTGGCCCGGAGGAGAGGAGGGGCAGGGTCCCGGGCGAGGCCGGGGTAGGGTGCTGGGACCGCTGAGGAAGGCGGAGCCGGGAAGGGGGAGTTGTCGAGAGGGGAGTGGGGGGCGGAGCCGGGAGGCGGGGCCGGGCGCGGGGCGGGGCCGGGGGCGCCCTGGACTCGCCCCCTGGATCAGTTCCCCTCTCCTTCCCCACCGCAGACACGTGCTTCTTCCGCGCTTCCAGGCGTCCTGACCGGAAGGTCTCGGCAGGTCCCGGCAAGTTCGGGGTCCCCGCGAGTTCGGGTGCTCGCTAGTCCGGGTCTCCGCGAGTCCCGGGTCCCGGACGGGAGCGGAGAACCAGAGGGGGGCTTCTTGCGGGAAGATGAGGAAGCCCGACGGGAAGATCGTGCTTTTGGGGGACATGAACGTGGGAAAGACGTCGCTGCTTCAGAGGTACATGGAGCGGCGCTTCTCGGACACGGTCAGCACTGTGGGTGGCGCCTTCTACCTGAAGCAGTGGCGCTCCTACAACATCTCCATTTGGGACACCGCAGGTGAGGGCTGGCGCCGCTTGGGCCCACACTGTTGTGGAACAACTCAGGGACGTGGGGCGAGGGGCTTCCCGCTTGAGAGTTACGGCTCCCAGGGCGGGGTCCTCCAGGTCAAGGTCCTCTAAGACAGGACTCCCCAGGGCACGGTTCCCCCAGGGCCAGTGTCCCACAGGGCAGGAGCCCTCTAAGGCAGGGACAGGGTCCCCCCAGAGCAGGATCCCCCAGGACAAACAACCCCGGACACGCACAGGGTCTCTCCCTCCCAAGACAGGTGACCCTAATTCAGGGATCAGGCCCCATTCACAGTGCACGGGCACCTTTGGCTCTTCTCTGTTCCCACTAGTTCTCCTTTGCTGGTTGGGAAACTCTTACTGTTCAGCCACTCGATGGGTTTAGTGACAATTGGGTGACACTTTAAAAGCATCCCTGGCTCCAAAGAGAGGACCTGTGTCACTTGTGTACCCTATGGTAGTGTCTGGTTGCCATGGCAGTGTCTGGCTTCAGATTGTCACCGTTCTGCGCTGAGCCTGCTAGTGGTAACCAGATTCAAATATTTAAGTACTCTCACAAACACGATCTCATCTGATATCTACAACGAGGGGTGAGCAAAACTAGTATAATTACCCTCTCTTTTTACAAAAGAGGAAACTGAGGCACAGAGCCTTCCTCCCAAGGTTTAGCTAGGACAGCAGGAAACAAAACTCAGATCTCTTCTCAGTCCTGAGCATATCTGCAATTTCCAGTTTCTTTATCACCTGCTTGATCTCAGCTCATGTATGTTACAGGGGTTTGAAGTGATTTTCTGTAGAAGCATTTTTATGATAGGTAATGAATTATTTTTAGTGTGTATAGTATTTGTGGTTTTTCAAAAGTACAACTTAGAAGATCTCGATTGAAGCTTTCAGTTTAACTGCAAAATTATACTGTCAATTATAGTGTTAGAGTAGAATATATTTCCTTCCCTATGAAAAGAATAAGATACTGTAATGAAACTGTAAAGAGCGTGGCACATTTTCAATGAGCATGACTTTTTAGAAGCCTGAAACTTTAAGATCTGACCTTTCGTTTTTTTTTAATGTATATATCAGAACTTTAAAAATTATATAGGTACCCAACAGGTCTTGTCTAGAATTTTTAAATTGTCAACTTGGGTGCACCAGTCTTGATTTTAACTAATTCTCTACTTAAAACTGAGTTAATAGAGTCCACTGAAATATATCTACTCCTCCTCTGTCCTCTTTTTTTTTATATTGCTTTTTTCATATGGCAGTTAACATTTTGACTAATTTCTTTGCAGTCACACTGTGATACGAATGTACCCTTCTCTGCTCTTTTCTCAAACTCCAGGCTGCAAAGTAAAGTTTCTCTAAGATCCTTTACTGTTTAAGCTGACTCTCTAGCATTAAGCATTTGGTAACGATGGAACGCAAACTCCAGAAGTCATATGAAATCAGATTAACACAACTTGTCTGCCTGTTTTGGACAAGGCTGGCCTTTTTGCTCCTTTTGTTGACTGACTGGACTTCTCTACTGTCCTTGGTTTACAAGAAGATAATGCAGGATTGGCATTGGGTGCCCAAACCGAGAACCCTATAGTGACTGACATGATAACCTGCTCTTTTACCATGAGGGGTGGTGTTTTTGGAGCAGGAGCTGACTTTAGGTGTCAGAGTGGGCATCTCCAGCATCTAGGGTATGAAGTAATTTCGACAGGCTACTTTCTTCTTCAGTGACAAGAACACGATGAACATCGCCAAATCTTGATCCTCAGAGGATTTTGTAAAATAGCTGATGAGCTGTCCTGGATACTTTGTTGGGTTCCTGGAGGCAGCAACTCATTTCCTTTCTGCCTAAACTGCCACTTTCTTTTTCCTTTAACCCTCGGGTGTGAGCTCAGTCAGGCTCCAGGGGCAGGGGGCGGGGGTGCGGGGGGAGGTTG